TGCCCAGGTGGGTCTCGAACCCGCGGGCTCAGGCAATCCACTCACCTCAGCTCCCAAAGGTGCGGGACTACAGGCTGAGCCACCAAGCCCGATTGGAAAAGAGATTTTTAAAAAGAGAACCAGTTTCTTAAGAACAAAGAAAGTAAGGAAGAGAATATATGAGAAAAGTATTGGGTTGTAAGCAACAACTTCAGGGTCTTGTAGGCCAAGGTCACTCGTGTGGTTATCCTAAACACGAAAGCTAATCTTAGGGATTAAATCCCTATTTTATTTCTTACTAACCAGTAACATTAAACAAATGACTTAACCCATTTAAGCCCCAGTTGGTTCAGTTATAAAATGGCATCAACAATAGGACTTTCTTTATAGTAGGGTTGTTGTGGATATTGATGTAGCAATCCATCTAAAGAGTTTTGTCGGCCAGGCGCGGTGGCTCAAGCCTGTAATCCCAGCACTTTGAGAAGCCGAGGCAAGGGGATTGCCTGAACTCAGGGGTTTGAGATCAGCCTGTGCAACTTGGTGAGACCTTGTCACTACAATAAATCAAAAAAATATAAGCTGGGCGTGTTAGCACGTGCCTGTAGTTCCAGCTACATAGAAGGCTGAGGCAGAAGGATTGCCTGAGACCAGCAGGTCAAGCCTATGGTGACCATGAGTGTGCCACTGCACTCCAGCCTGGGCAACAGAGTGAAACTCTGACAAAAAAAAGTTTTGTCAGGGACTGGCACATAGTGGGTAAGATTTAAATATTAGATGTATTAATTATCCCTTCTGATAAATATGATTAAACTCATAAAGAACAGCTCTAGTCACTGAATTTTATGCTTTATTATAGGTGATAAGACTGTCATTTGGAGAAATGAGGATCCTTTTGAAAGTTCTCAAATAGCCTAGTCTGCCTATGTGGAAATCTGATCCAATGGCTTGATCTGGTCAATTTCTTTTCATGCTACTTGGGAGGCTGAGGCAGGAGGATCACTTCAGCCCAGGAGTTTGAGGCTGCAATGAGCTATGATTGTGTGACTGGATGTCAGCCTTGGCAACAGAGAGAGACCCTGAGACCCTGTCCCCAAAAGAAGGGGAAAAAGGAAAAAAATAAAGAAACAAAATGAACTTAAAATGGAAAGGAAGTCAGAAAGACTGATACGCACACTCCATTTCTGGCATTGTCAGAAAGAGACAATGCTCACGTATATCTAGCAGAGACTAGATTTAGAGTGGAAATCAGTATATTAGATCTCTAAGACATTTGCGATTACATGGACCGTTTGTACCATCCAACTACTTGACTTTCTTGGAGACCACTGTCAAGCAACCTTCCAATTTTATTTGACTCCCATATAGTTTTATTTATAGTAGAAGAATGTGCTGACTAGCAAATATAAATAGGTAATCTTTAGAAAAATCACATTTTTAGTACAGATTTACAATTTGATATCTGCCTCTTTATATTCATTATTTATATATTTAGCTAGTGCATTAGTCAGCTTGGGCTGCCATAAGAGAATAACACAGACTAGGTTGACTATACAACCAAGATTTATTTTCTACTCTTCTGGAGTCTGGAAGTCCAAGATCAAGGCACTAGCAGAGTTAGTTTCGGGTGAGGTCTCACTCCTTGGCTTGCAGATGGCAGCCATCTTACTGCATTCTCACATGGCCTTTTCTCTGGGTGTGCACACCCCTGGAGTCTCCTCCTCTTCTTATACAGACACCAGTTTTATCAGATTAAAGCCCCACCCTTATGACCTAACTTAACCTTAATTATTGCCTTAAATGCCGTACCTCCAAATACAGTCACACTGGGGGTTAGGGCTTCAACATACGAATTTTGAGGAGACGAAATTCAGTCTATAACAGTTTCAGTCAGATTTCAAAGCCTGACTATACCTGAATGTTCTAATAATCGAATTCCTGAGTCTGAAACATCAAGGGGAAAATGTTGGGTGGCAATGGCTACTTCCATACCTTATCCCCCTTTGCTGGTTATGTGACTGTTGGAACTTCTTGCTCTCTCTCTGACTCACCTTGCCCTGCTATACTCCTCACTGTATTGAGGGTGTACAGGTACAGACTACATTATGAAGACTCATTGGTCAGGGGACTAATGTTGAATTCTGCCGATGGGAGGCTGTGAGAGGAAGGGAGCAGCCATTCCTCTTCTAGTTCTGGCAGAGCAACAGCAACAGCATGTGATGGCAGGCTCTAGCAACTTTAGCAACTTCTGTGATTCCTCTAACACTTCAACTAAGAAAGGATAGTAGCCATGTCCCAGTCTGTGAGTGCTACCACCTTATTCCTTTTGCCCCTCCAGCCCTTTCACCAACT